ATTTTTGAAGCCAGAAGCCGAGCTAAAAGTGCAACAATGTGCTCAATTTCGCTGTTTTTATGTACGATTTTTTCACAATAAAACCGCTTGTAGCTTCATCCACAGATGCGGGAAGCAGATAAGAAAGACAGATTCGAAGTTAGCGTTTTATACCGCATCGAATGATATACAGCTTGTTTGGTTTGGCCACTTCGACTTCTGACCATTTCCTTGTTAGCAAGGTAGCTTCGCATTCTAGGGCTATGGCGAATAGAATTTAGGACGACAAGATTTTTCTACAGTTCACTAGCCCTTCTATTTTCTCTGGAAAGAAATCTGCGGCTACTATTTAGCGCATCATAATCTAGAGAAAAAGTACTATCGAATGGTCCTTGCTGGAATCAATTCGGGACAATGCTTGCTGCTTTACACCTTCGCGAAGAGACGTCCGCAGAAAGATTAAGAATACTGGAATTGGAATATCAGGGACATGCTGTATATCAGCAGATTCGCCTTGATGAGCTGAGCACAGCGCTTTTTTGGATTGAAAAGATACACATTCCGAAAGAAGTATGGCGAGTAGAATTATTTGGAAACTCGTGATTTTTCTAAATTCACCAACGCTTCTATCTCCTCTGGAAAGAAGTCTTAGCCTATTTTTTAGCGCACAATAATCCACAAGAACAGTATTATTGATTAGTACTTAGTAGGGTACTTGTCGTGAAGTTCGAGTTTTTTGTTATTCAATGGCTGTCACAACTTATGAGGGTGCACAAAGAAGTTGTAGTTAAGACCATATTTTTGATGCAAGTAAGTGCAGGGCTACACATTCGAAACAATATCACATCGGTTTCTTTCGCAGGACACACTGGCCGTATGTCGTTCGAGATACAGTGCTGGACAAAATTGTAGGTCCACTCTACAAAATGCCATAACTCATTCTGTCGTCAATAAAATGCTCCAAAATTTGGTACAGCCTTGTGTTTACCAGCCTCCTATCAATCTTCAGAACGGGTCTCGTTTTCGTTTGATTATACAAGAAAAAATCAAAAATTTAGAAAAAAGCAGGCTTGAATGCTGGTCAAAATTATAGGCCCACCTGAAGCTCTTATTGATTAATGAACTTCCTAGCTTCCGAATTTTTTAGGTAGGTACACATTCAAATGTATTCAGTTGTTTTAGTCAAGTTGTCTCGTTCCTCCAAAAAAAACCTATTATTTGCTTATTTTGCCTTGAAAATTGATTTCACATGCATTTCGCTCCAGAAGTCTACTCTGAGTAGAAATTCTGTAGTTTCTCAGCTGGATAGGAAGCGACGGAGTTTTGTCCACCTTCTGGATGCTGTTTGAAGTGAGCACTAAAAGAAAAATCTGACTTTTTGCTGCTGAAACAAATGCGACATCGACATCAGTAATCCTGAGCTCAAATTTCTGCCTTCAAACTGCTTCCACAAATTTCTCAGAAGCAGTAAGTAAATTAAAGGCATTGTTTTTTACGAAGAGAAGTCTGTACTCCACGGTCACAACTTTCTAGAGATCCTAGCATTCAAGTGTAATTACGGAAATTACGCTGCAGAAGCTGATTGCGACAAGCACCACAGCTAATTGTGACTCTGACCAAATTTTTCAGGAGAATCATGAGCTAACATACAATACAAGCTGTATCCACTATCTAGTAAATAATTACTGTCAAAAATCTAGGTGAGGTAGCGCTTGGCAAACTGTTTCGGAAGGGTGATTAGCACCATCATTACGCTGCACAACTCATTCGAAAAAGAAGCAAAGGGCAGCTTTGCGAACACTTGTAAGTATGGCTTACAGATTTATTCTTATGCACAGAATGCTTCTACTCTACTATATATTGAGGTTATAACGATAACGCGTAAAGGGTTTTAGGGCGAAATCTGAGGCTTAGGCTCCCGATTAAGTCGATGTCGGATTTGCTTGCAGCAAAAAATCACAAGGGAACCGTGTCGAGTCGAAGTGGCCTTTCCAAATGAGACCCATACTGCTTTGAAGAGTATTAAGCGGTGATTCCAAATCTGCCTTCCAAATCTGCCAAGCGCCTCTGGACGCCGAGTTATTGCCGTTCCTCGGAATGAAAAATGAATGCAAAATTTAGGTATAATTGATTGTTACAATCTTTCCAGCGCTCAGACAAGGCAACGTTGAGTATTAGCATATTAAATGAAATGTATCCATTATATAAACAAGTCTGATACTTGACACTGGACCATTTGAGCAAATTTGGGCGATTTTGCTTCAGTTTTGCGTTCAATTTTTTGACCTGAAAAACGAGCATAACTCGTCGTCCAGAGGCGCTTGGCAGATTTGGAAAGCAGATTTGGAATCACCGATTAATGCTCTTCAAAGCAGTATGGGTCTCATCTGGAAAGGCCACTTCGACTCGACACGGTTCCCTTGTCAGATTTTTTTCTTCAATGCTCATGTCTAAAAGCATCCGAAGGTAGATGAAACTTCGTCGCCTCCAATCCAGCTTGGAAACTGCAGAATTTCCTACCCAAAACATGTTTCTGGAGCGAAATACATGTGAAAGCATTTTCAAGGCAAAGAAAGCAGGTAATCGGTTTTTTGGAGGTACGACACAGCTCGACTAAAGCGACTGTTCAACACATTTGAATGTGCACCTACTAAAAAAGTTTGGAAGCTAGAAAAGTGCTTCAATCAGTAAGAACTCCAGGTGGACCTATAATTTTGACCAGCCTTCAAGCCTGCTTTTTTCAAAATTTTGATTTTTTTCTTGAATAATCAAACGAAAACGAGACCCTTTCTGATGACTGATAGGAGGCTGTTAAACACAAGGCTGTACCAAATGTTGGAACATGTTATTGACAAGAAGTATGGATTTTTTAGAGTGACCTACGATTTTCTTCACCACTGTATCCCGCGCCTGTAACCCGAAACAAAGATGCTAAACGTTCATATCTTGAGTCGTGCAGACTTTCTGTGCTTTCACATTATTTTGTCTTAGAGAATCATGCCGAGTATTTGAAACGACCACTAAGGCCCGCAGTAAACCCCTCACAGCTCAGATGATCTGCGCTGACCCCCTCAGAAGGGATCCGTAAGTTTATCTTACAAGGGAATGGTCAGAAGTCGAAGTGACCAATCCATACAAGCTGCATACCATTAGATGCAGCATAAAACGCTGACTTTAAATCCGTCTTCCATATCTGCAGAGCGCTTTTGTGGACGAAATTATAAGCCGTTAAAGCCATTATTTTGTTGAGAAATTGTACGTGTAAAGTGCAGACTTGGCCGTAAAAAGCCATTCTCGGCTCAGTGTTGGACCAAAACATGCAACTAGTCTACTTTATACGACCCGTACTTAGAGATGAGCTGAAAGAGCAATAATGTGCTTGTTTTGGCAATTTTTGTACATGATTTTTTCGCATTAAAGCTGCTCATAACTTCGCCCACAAAGGCGCTCTGCAGATATGGAAGACAGATTTGAAATCAGCATTTTATGGTGCATCGAACGGTTTGCAGCTTGTATAGATTGGCCACTTCGATTTCTGACCATTCCCTTGTTAGGATACCTCTTGTTACAGTGCATTAAGAGTGGACCATGAGCTGACAGCCAAGGGGCCATTCAGCTGCCGCAATGAGCTGCACTGTCTGCCCTAAGCTAAGCCGTCGCCGTCGGCCTGGCTTACGGAGACAGCGTTTCTGCAAGGAGACGCAGACAGAAATCCCGTAAGTTGCTCGCGAGTAACTTACGGGACACGTCAGCTGGCTAATTCTGCGGACGACAGTACCCGAGATTGCACAAATAGGGTGGCATAAGGATGGGGATGATCAATGAACAGCTGATCGCAGCAAAAATGAGATATCAAGTTTTTTTCTACTTCTTGAGGTATGTCATCAAATCTTTATATATTTCGAAGAATGCTGAAATAGAAATTAAACTCTCTCTTTATTTTCTAAAAAATATGATTCTTTATGGATGTTAACACGTTGACGACGAGCCATTTTTTGAAGGTCTGTCCCTGTGGACGAACCGTTTCCGGGCATTTTCACAGCCGGCTGCACATATGTATGCATGCATCTATACGTGAGATACACAAATGCAAGTGGGCGGGGCAGCTCCGCCCACTTTTGGCAAGCCCCTCCCGCTTTTAAAAAATGCTGGAAATCGCTCAAAATCAATGAATTCGTGCAAATTCCGGCATTTTTGAAAAGTGGGCGGAGCTTGCCACTGAGGGGTGGAGCCTGCATTACGGGGGGCGGGGTCAAAATCAAGATCATTCAAGGTTCCCCTGTCATCTGTGAGCTTTTCTATGCGATTTGAGAACGAAAAAAGTTTTTTGTAGAGGGCAGTGGAGTGGGCGGAGTTTGCCAAAAAGGGGGCGGGCCCAACATGAAATACTTTCGAGCCTAACTTGATTATATGAACACAAATTGGAACCATTGTGCGCATTAAAACTGATGTTTAGGGTGTCGCGCACCATTGCGCTACATCGTCCACAGGGACAGACTGCCTGTCGCGCACCATTGCGCGACACCGTCGTCAACGTGTTAATACTAAGATGTTGTATCCGGTTTATGTCCTCGTTTGTACAGCAAAGGCAGCGCCTTTTGTTAGTGGCTGCTATCAAAGACTGCCCCTGCGATGTAGCAAAATGTCGGCACCTGCCGGTCATGAACCCTGGTGCTGCCGCGTGTATCACACTAGCCTTAGCCATTTGACCAAACCTGCACAATCTCTCAAGCTGTTTTTTCTTTGAGAAAACGCAGTTTCTATCATGCTATACAAAACGATCCGCATCCGGATCGACGACTCGCTTGACACCGCGCTGAGGCTGTAAGGACAACCTAGGTTCGCCTCAGAGTAGATGCACTGAGGAGGGGTTTCCTACGGGCCTAAGACTGAGAATTATTTTCGAGATACCATCGCTGCAGCCGATTGCGCCTAGCTAACTTCGGATGGTAATGAGGGGTATCGCTAGACTTATCAATATCATTTCCAAAAATTATGTTCGGCTGTGCATAGAGGCAGATGCCATTTAATTTCAGGTGTTCACACTAAGCAGTCATGTACCGACGAACAGTTTTGTTCCTATGCTGCTCAATGGCTTTTCATACTGAATTCTGTTTCTGTAATGCGGAGGATGATTGGGAGTTGTATGACGAAATTCCAGAAGGCGTGAGTCTTTCCAACCTTTTCACGTAGCTAAAGCGACTTCTAGAACAATGGGACAATACTATGCAGATATTTCACAGCCCTATAATTAACTTCACACCTGAGCTCTTTGTGCTTGAAGTGAAAACTAGTTAAATTTAACATAAATCAAAGAGCCACCGTTCTTTGCTTGCTTCACAGAGGTTCTTGTTGAGCGTATCGCAAAAGTATCGTGCTGAAAATCAGCTTATTCCCAATCTCAGACTTCAGCCATTACCACTGCCGCTGCTGTTACCAGGTGCAGGTCGATTCCCATGACCGTAGCTTTCCACACGGGACCATCGCCGCGCGACAAACCCTGCAGCGGCTTCGCCTATGTAAACCAGCCTACATCTCAGGCTTCGGACCAGGGTAAAGCGGGGGGTGCGGCACGCCGCAGGGGGGGGGGGGGGGTCGTTAGGGAGGGGGAGGGGGGCAGGTAGGGGGGGGGGTCGTATCGACCCAAGGTCAAGAGCACTTGTACAAGCTGTGTGACTAAATTGACTTGATGGAAGCGCTGTTGAAATCCTGCAAAATTCAAGTTCAACGACACAAACTTGCAGATACCGTATGCCTACCGTAACCTACCGTACCTCTAATCAAGCATAATTGTCGTAATCCGCGTGTCGAATAACCCCTATGCGCCAAGTTTCAGCGAACTCTGAGGTCTCCGAGCAGTAAACAACCTTGTATAAAGCAGTAATTTAAAACATGATTATCTTCATCTTAACGGTGAGTAAGCTACCTCTTCTTGCACTCAATACAAAGCACTACTCCTTCTTTGTCCACCTCAGGAATCCCGCTTTAGAAGACCTCCAAACTATTGAATTAGAAGCCAACCAAAATCTCGTTTTTCCCATTTTTCACTTTTGATCGCTGTGCTTTCACCAAGTATTACTCAGAGCTAAGAAGACGAATCAGGCTCAAAACATCCCTATGGAATCTACGAGGTTTAGGCTATTGATTCATATAAATATTGTCCGCTAAAAATGTTTTTTGATATAGTTAATGGCCTGCGGCACCCCCCCCCCCCCCCCCTCGAAACCTGCGGCTGCCGCAGGTTTTGAGGGGGGAGGGTGCCGCAGGCCATTAACTATATCAAAAAAACATTTTTAGCGGACAGTATTTATATGGATCGATAGCCTAGATCACCTAGTTTTCACAGGAGTGATTTGAGCCTGATTCGTCTTCTTAGCTCTGATAATATTTGGTGAAAGCACAGCGATCAAAAGCGAAAAACGGGAAAAACGAGATTTTGGTTGGCTTCTAATTCCACAGTTTGGAGGTCTTCTGAAGCGAGATCCCTGAGGTGGACAAAGAAGGAGTAGTGCTTTGTCTTGAGTGCGAAAACGGATAGCTAATTCACCTTTGAAACAAAGTTAACCATGTTGGAATTTGACCATTTCACTTAGGTAGCCTAGTATCTTGAATCTTCAGAATTCGCTCAAACTTTGTCTACAGGGGTTAATTGACATGCTCATTATGGATATGTTGCCCATTATGTTTGACAGGGCCTCCAAATAATGCTATCTTAAGGGTATAGTCCAGGGGGGGGGGTCTTATTAAGACAGCAATCAGGGGGGGGGGGGTCGTAACCAGCGATCGTGTGCCACACCCCTTGCTTGACCCTGCTTCGGACAGTGTTCACGCGATTTGATCGTCGCGATCAATCGCGACAAGGCAACTGTAACAATATCATTGCATGCCGATCTTCTCGTATTTCGGTTGTGATAGTTTGCCGACGCAACTAATCGTGACTAACTCTGACAACCAAAATAAGAAGATCGGCATGCAATGAAGATGTAACACTTGTTTTGTAGCGAATGAATCGCGACGATCAAATCGCATAGACTCTGCTTGAAACCTCAGGAGGTACGCCGCGCGCGGTGACCGCTTTGCCACCCATTCCGCGTTCAAATTCTGAGACCCACAAAACTCTCCGCTATTAGAGATTCCCGGCTACAAAAACAGGGCGGGGGGGGGGGGGAGTGGAAGCAGATACATCACTCGATGCCGTAAGTAACATTGTGCCAGGAGCGCTGCTGCTGCATTGGTTGAAGTGCGCGCGGCATCGCTTTGCTCAAAATTTGTGCCGATCGTACCTCCTGACCGTTCCCCAGCAAAGCAAAGGGAAGAACATGTCGCGTGCGTGACACGGTCATGGGGGGTGGCGCTAGATCGCCAGTACAAAAAGACCGTTCTTACCGCTGTTACCGCTGTTCTGTTACTGCTATCACGGCTGTCACTGCTGATGAATTCATTTTTCCATGAGAAATCTCACGTATTAATGTGGGAAAAACATGAAAGAATGGTTCTTTACTGTTGTTCATTCCATTCTTTAAACTTTGACCATACATTACAATGTTATCCGTGTCACTAGTGTTGCTCGTGTTACTAGTGTTACATGTGTTACCCATGTTACACGTGTTACCAGGGTTACCAGTGTTACTCGTTACTAGTATTACAGCTTTTGTTGCTGTACAGTAGTGAAATGTTCACAAATACACTCACATTCTATAACGCAATCTCATTAACTGGTGAGTAACACTAGTAACACGGGTAACATAACACTGGTAGCACTGGTAACACGAGTATGGCTTATAACACTAGTTACATTAGTAACACTAAAAACGCGAATGATACTGGTAATTATGGTCAAAGCGCAGTAAAGCGGTAACAGGATAACAGCAGCAAAAGCAGCAGCGGTCGACGTTAACAACGGTAACAGTGGTAACGGCAGCAGCATCAGATAATAGTGACGGTGGTCTCTTAGATTGTTTACAGGTCAACATAAGCGCATTTTAAAACAGAAGATAAAGCATTATCGTTCTACGGAGGTTACACACGCCATGCAACTGTGGTCTACGAATTTTGGTTCCATTGGCAAATTGGCAGACCGCGTGGCGACTAAAATTAAGTGAAGTATGCCCGTGGTCTTATTCATAAGTTTGGCAATTCACTCTCACAACTTCAGAACTCATGTAAAACACATTCAATTTTTCGCGGCTCAATTTTAAGCGAGACGCCTTCCCCCACCCCTTCTCCAGCCCTCAATCCTTCCTTGGGCTGAGCCCTAAGCTGAACCCTTAAAGGCAGCGTCCGGGCAAAATTTCGATTGGAATTTTTTTCGTTTACGTGGACTTATTCCTCCCGCTGATTCTGAAAATGCAGCTTAGAGGGCACGAAAACGCCGAGAACGGGCTTTTCCAGAAGCTCTTTGAATTTTGTCGCCTGCCGCAGGTTAAGACGCAGAGTCTTTGTGGGACTCTACGTCTTGACTGTGTGTGGTATGCGCACTCTGGCTTATCGAACTAACTCGTCCCGGTCGCCGGGGGGTTCCGGTCGCCACTTCTGAATTCGATCTCTCGCTTCAGAAGCAAATTGGTGCATAGCCAGTCGGGCAAGAGTCTTACTAGTCTTACTTCTTAACAGTCTTGGCATACAAGACTTAGCAACTGCTTTTTTGTACTTCAAAGTGCCAGCATTTTTCTTCTGGACGATTATGTTATCAGATTATCTACATAGCAATGTGCTTTCTCAACAACCTTCTTTTCAGAAAAATAAGGAAGACTTTCAAGATGTGTATGAGTTTATGTACGAAAAGAAATGGGATTTTTGTGAAAAAAACTGTCTTGCAGAAATAAGTATGGCGCGCAAGTACATTAAAAAGCCTCCTGCTGACAAAGACAAAGTAGGGTTTTCTCATACTTTAAAAAATGAATTTTGAAACTTCCAACTACAGAAAAAGTTCTGTGACCAGAAAACGGTCGAGGATGGAAGACGTAAAATATGGCGCTTCAGATGCCGAAGAAGGGAAGAATTTTTGAATAACGAGAACTGGATATCGGTAGGTGACTAAGTTCCGAATGAATATGCAATCGACAATGTTCTATAATATTTAGCAGACAGTGGCTGATTACCTATGGGATACTAATTTGCAGATAGAGGAGTACGCGTACGTATATAAAATTGCAAATCAAAATTGTATCTTTTTTGTAATTAAAATGGTTTTTCAGAGGTGTTTTTTGCGTTATCAAATATCTGCGGAAGAGGTATCCCGGTAAGTTTGCCACTTTTCTTCCCCTTTCCAGACTAAACACAATGTACAAGTCATTTGAGTTACTAATTAGCGACGAGCTTGAGGATAGTATGCGAGATACTGTGGTAGGAGGTATTTGATGTCATCTCAGGTCATGTTCCCCCTTGAAGATGCAGTGTTAACTGTCGTGTGATCTCACCCCTGTGAGAGCAGGACACACAATCGCACAACTGCGCACAGCCTGTGCTAACGATATGCTCCCTTTCTGATCAGCTCATGCGCAACGCTAGAGCCCCGTGGCGCGTTCGCGAGAATACCGCTAGAGCGCGAGTCAGCTACATCAATCTTATATTGCTGTAGAGTGCCCACGAGCTGCGGATGCGTAGTTGTTACGAAAAGGGAGCACGTGGTTGACACAGGTTGTACTTATAAGGTTAGACTGAAAGCTAAAAATCCGCTCGGATGTTGGAAAACTTGAACCGAGTTTTCTTCCAAGTCCTCGCCCCCGTGATCGAAAGCGAAAGCTGTTTCGAAAGTTGAGAGGGCTACTCAGGGCGCGACACCGCAGCTCCCAAAGACTACGAATCAGCATATGGAACGCGCAGAACTGGAGCAATTTGCGCACCTGTACAGCTTGCCATCACATCATCGGGATCGGGTGCGAAATGCTAGCTTGATATCGCGTACTGTAGCGCTAGAGGTTGTACTGCACGCTGCAAAGCATTTGCCGGAGAGTTCGAAGAAAATAGAGAAAGATCAAAGGTCCCACCACGACCGTTTATAGGCGTAGGCGTGTCGTAAAACCATAGCGGTGCAGCGCGCATTACTTTAATTCTATCCTGGTGCGGATTATGACGGAGTGTAAAAGGAAACATCTGAGATGAAGTCTACGCATTTTTCCCATTTTTTTCTCTCCCGCTGCGCCGCTAAAAATTGCTACGCATTTCAAAAAAGGTGAAATTCAAGGAGATTTTTTTATAGCAAAGAAGCCGTTCAAGTTAGTCAGTCCTTTAAGACGAAGCTGTTGGCAAAGTGTTGCTAAAGGATGACGTTCCCAGTAAAGGAATGGAAGTTAAAGGCAGCGTCCAGGCGCTTACCCCTAGCACCTTAGCGGAATACTCGCGTTGGCATACAGGATTTTCGGGCCATACTTGTGGATACCTTCAAATGGGGGGGGGGGGGAGGGATGGGGAGGTAGTGAGAGAGGGTCCGCTGCATAAACACGCCTGGCCTTGCTCCACAATAGGTAGTTACGTAACGACTAAATACGGTAATGAGGACAGCATAAAAACTCAATGAGCAAAGTTAGAAAATTCTGTAAATTTAATCTCCCAGCGCTATCTCTCAAGCTAAGTTAGCTCAACTAAGCTCACCAAAAAGTCCATACCATGCGAAATGAGTGTGAATTGCGGCATATCAAATCACTCTTCTACACGTTATTTCATGCTATAATTTCCAGTTCAAATTTCTCATTTTCAAACATGATTTGTTTTGCATCAAACAGTCAACCTTCTCTCACTGATAGCGATGAAACTTCTCTCCCAGTTTTATGAAAGAAACTCGCTGTTTCCGAACAGCGAATTCAGAATGCTGCTATTAGCAATTGAGCTTGGGGTCAGCGCTCTTCTGGGGGTCGTCTTGGGAGTAAGACTGAGGGGAGGGGGTCGTAATCAAGACGAATTTGTTTACAAAATGGAGAGGATGCTCCGATTAAGTGAGGTGAAGAAGAGAGCGCTAGACCAGTGAATATCACAAACTGTAGAAGGAATGACTGCCGTTTGCATACTGGTTAACTCCACTAACAAACTCTTTGCTAACAATAAGGTCCTAAAGAGGCTTGCTGTTGAAGTGGGTAAGATTTCCGTAATCAGCATGCCAAGTTACCTATACGAGCTCTACAAACCATCACCTATCACATTTTTTAGTATTTCTTAACGTTTAGGAAGCGTGATTTTCAAACATTATTAACTTGCTCACAAAAATAAAAGAAGTCTGCTTTCTTGTGCTCAAAACGAAGTAATACTCTTTATCAATTTGCGGTAAAAATTAGACCTCCCATCGCTTCCAAAAAATGCTCCAAAAAATCAAGAAGTGCTGCTAAAATTTCAACCACCGCGTTTTCCACCTTGAGTGCTTCAACTCCACCGATCACCGCAAAGCCGGAACAAGTCCACATATGCTCAAACACCTAGTGTAGAATCTTCAAGGTTTGTGCTAACGAGTCGCATAAAACTAAGATGTAAAAGAGAAGTCAACCGAATCACGCGCAACCCCTTAAAAGCTCAGCCCGCCTGAGCTTTTGTAGCCTTGCGCCTGACCCCCTTAACATGTCTTCGAAATCCAGAAATTGCTTTATTCCTGGTGTGAACATTGAGCCCCTTCTTGCTACAATGAAATTTTGGAGCTAAACACCCCAGCCTCAAAGAAATTATGGTCCTTGCAATAAACCATTCAGATCAAAATCTAATGTCAAATTACATGTGGTTGTAAAGTGCAATCACAGACAAATCGGGCGTTCAAACTTCAAAATCGAAGAACTTTTTGGGGAAGGGTGGTGTCCTACAGAATGTCGCTCTCTGAGGTTCCGAAGGTGAAAAGAAGGAAAAATGGGGGTTTGGGGCTTTTAGATGGGAGGAGGTCGTTTTCGAAACACTTGTGCCGACACCTCTGCTTTTGACCTCTTGCTCAACTCTTATATATGCACTCCTTTCAATCTGATCTGGATTTTCAACGGTAATTCAAAACGCCTCCAAAGTCTTACGCGCTATTTCGGATACATAAGCTAAGACCGTGACCTTCACTCGTATGTCTGCTTCATTATGGAATTGTTTGCGATGCTTGCCTCGTGGAGTTACAGTGTGATTTTTTGCCGGTCTAGTTGGCCGGTCAAGTGCCGGCCAACTAGACCGGCACTTGACCGGCGCAATTCTTTCGCTTCGCAGCTGGATACTGTCGACTTCCCAAATACGGTGACGAGGAATCGTGGTCTTTAACAAAGATTGATAGATTAGTTATGCCTCAATACGGAAGAATCGCAACGCATGTGACACTAACGCAGCTCTATCACGCCATAATCTAGGGTCCGCTCGTACTTCTTACGCAAAAGAGGGTACGGTTGACAGAGACTGTTGTACTCGTGGAAGTAAAGCCAAAGGCTGCAATGCAGACTTTTGCTCCAGTGTCTGCAAAAGCGGGCAAAAGGATCTGAATGACGCTCAAATGACTCGCCTATCGGCGGTGTTCGTCTCTGGTACTCTATCAAATTTTTACCATATTTAGGGTTTATCCGCTGTTCTCTGTATGCGCGATGTTTCCTCTCGGTGAAAAATCAAATTTCATAAAGTTATTGGAGACGATTTTGTCTATGCTATACATCACATGCATAGAATGGACGTTGTTGCGTACGACTGAGATTTGCGCACAGGAGATGGTAGACGGTAAAAGGGGTGAAAGAGAGATGCCGACAGCGTCCACAGTGGTGCCTTGTCTTTGCATGCATAAATCGCCTATATATAGAGGTTTCAATTTCACAGCAAATTCTGCATCAACAAATCTGTTCCACACCCCTTATATAAACGTCGACCGAGTTTTGTCTCTAATGCGCATTTTACAGGTGTTCCAACTCCAAAAGCTCGCTTTGATCCAAGCAAGTTTAGAAAGCTCTTCAAGGAGTCAGCCGAGTGAAGCTAACGAGAAACAAATAATCTCTATCCATCTCTTCACTTACTTTCGTCAAATTTGATCATTTTTGTGTTTGAACATGTTACGAGACTTGACTGTGAAATTTAGCTTGTAAGATCAGGATAAACTCGTATGAAAAGACATGTTGACACTTCGTAATTCTCGATTTACCCCTACGGTCATCATCATATTCAGATCTCAGACAAAATCCAAAAGAAGAAGCTGTAAGAATTCGAATACCTTTGAAATCCCATCTGAAAGCTTTTATTTCAACAATAAGCTGAGTTCATCCCGGATTCCCAGAAACAATCGGAAGGAGATTAAGACCAAAAAAACTTGAAAGTTGGGACTTATTCTAATCTCTAAACGGAAAGCAGCAACATTTAAACACACTATTATTTGAATCTCACAATATAGGATCTTCCAGATGAGTCCGTCTGTATTAAGCTCAGTCTTTTCCGACAAGATTTTAGGGCAGTCATAATAAAAAAAACATATTTCTAGGGCGGACCTATCTCAAGACGCATTTACCTGGGTCAAAAAAGCAGCCTTACCTTTAGGATTTTAGGGTAGCTTCAATGTTAATTTATTAGCCGCATCTGAAGCTTTCCGCTATCTCTGCGCAAAAACGGCGCTTGTGTTTGGGTTTTGGCAAGCAGTTTCGACAATTCAATCATTTTATATTTCATTCACTTTGAAATCCTGATTTCATGATTAGCCTTTTTATTATAAGTGTCAACTCACTTTTTTCGAAGAAATTTAAGCCCTATGATAAAACTTCAGCCCCTCGAGTAGATATTCTGCTTATTATAGTGTGCTTGCGGTGCCGAAATGGTGCGGTAAAATTTGCGCGTGAATAACTAGCTATGCCTGCAATGCCGGTCATATGCGCGCGCAAAATGGTCGCATCACTGGTCTGGGTATTTGTTCATGCGCATATTTTACATTACCATCTCGGTACCGCAAGCACCCTGCTCAGCGGGCAATCTATCAGTTCTACTCAGCTTCCCGTGAGCTAGGGGCAGACCAGGCGCTGTCTCATTATTAGTGCTTTTCTCTCTCATGCATTTTTTCAGTTGATCCGACATGAGTTCAGTTGGTCAAGTTTCATTTGAGCACTGCTAACTCCTAACCCTGCTCGCGATGAAACTTCAAAAATAAAGGTTGGAGAAATGAAAATTTATCGTTTAGCTCTCCCGCCACCAAAATCTTTGCAGGTACGGTATCCACAATCATGGATATAATCTAAAAAACTAATGCGCCACATGGTGGATTGCGAAAACGCGCATTCAAGATTCAAGCGGCCAGCAAAGAAGACTAAACACTTGCATCTCCTAACCTTATCCTACACGTAGAGTTTGTTTAAACTCACAAGGAAACCGTGTAGAGTCGAAGTGGCCTTCCCAGATGAGACCCATACTGCTTTGAAGAGTATTAAGCGGTGAATCCAAATCTGCCTTCCAAATCTACCAAGCGCTTCTGGACGCAGAGTTATGACCTTCTTCGGAACGAAAAATGAATGCAGAATTTAGGTAGAATTGAATGTTACAATCTTTCCAGCGCTCAGATAAAGCAATGTTGAGTATTAGCATATTAAATAAAATGTATCCATTGCATAAACAGCTCTGGTGCCTGACACTGGAACAGAGCAAATTTGGGTGATTTTGCCTCAGTTTTGCGTTCAATTTTTTGACCTGAAAAACGAGCATAACTCGGCGTCCAGAGGCGCTTGGCAGATTTAGAAAGCAGATTCGGAATCACCGATTAATGCTGTTCAAAGCAGTATGAGTCTTATCTGGAAAGGCCACTTCGACTCGACACGGTTCCCTTGTCAGTTGCCGAAACTAAGGTTGCGAGCTTTGCCACGCTATGGTTCGCAGCTTGTCGCAATTACGGTATGTCATATCGTGCTGGGAGGCAATGTCTGCGTCTCATTCTCTTCGACCATTGACTGGCACTGCTGATAGGAGGGAGAATCGGTTTTCAAAATTTCACTAAGAAGCTGACCTTGTAGACGTCATCAGTTAAATTCAGCGTCGAGGCAAATCTCGATATATAAGGATTTCACATGAGAATGATTTCGGAGCCCTAACAAAGACTACCCAAGCGGCAGAGCGAATGATTTACTCACTGTTGAGATATCCGCCTTCAAATCACCCGGATCGTATGAACGGACGACTTGCACGATCCACTGATTTCGCGCGAGGACCCATGCGAAATCAATGGATCGTCGGGAAGCATGCGAACGTGAGGCAGCTCGTCCATTAATACAATACTGGGGTCTAGTTTGGAGATGAATATCTCAGCCACAAGTACACCACTTGAGCTGCCGCTTGGTCAGCGTCTTAGTCATGGCCCCAAAAGTACTTTCCACGTGAGATCTCCATATGCCTGAACGCTATCCTCAGCGTTCTAGAATTTAAATTTGGTTAGGGCCACATTCTTGAACGTCCCCTCCGAGAAGGGCAAGTGGAGCTCGAAAGAAAGTTTTATATCCTGAAGCAACTGGAAACTGATTTTATGCTGGCTATTCATCTTCAACTATCTCTACTATCCTTTACTATAAACAAAACACAGAGAACAAGAGCGCATTGCTGTAAGACGCGATTACCAGCTTTTTGCATGATTCCCCGATGATCGGTAACCGGTATACCAATACAAAATCACGTTACCTTTGAAATGAGTGAAAACACCCCGAAGTTGTTCTGACTGCTTAACTCAACTTTAACAGTGTTAGCATGTTTATAGTGAGTACAAATAAAGTATCGAATTAATGAAATTCCGATGGCCCACAATTTGAAAATGAGGACTGAAAATCTCATTTCGTAAGAACTCATGTTTCTGTGAATAACACAGTATGATCAAAACTTTGTTTCCTCTGAGCGATTTCAGGTGGCTCGCTAGGAGGTTTGTAGCCATCTTCGAAAAAAGTTTGTCAAGTTTTCGATTCATCTTGGAGCACAAATTCCAATAGCGTTTGTAACTAAATCGCATTAGAGCTGTTGTGTTCAAATTGTTGTTTTCGGAAAGAATGCGATTGGTAGCGTAATGCTGTGCAAGCGGGTTTACAGTGATGAAGAGGTAGTGAAAGTGGAAGGTGGTGGAGGAGGGTGAGACGCGGCTGCTACGACTCACCCGGGAAGTTTTGTCTATTTTTTGAGGGGGGGGGGGAGGGGAACTACGTCTGGTTTGTAGATGATGCACCTACAGTTAGAGGCAGCGGCTGGGCAAAATGACAAATTTTGAATGTTCATCGTTCTCGGTTCCCCTGGATGAGCGAAGTCCAAGATTGTGCTCGCAGCTATCAATAACCAGCTTTTCCAGAAGTGAAAAGCGCTGTTTGGGCGGATCGCGTATGCCTGCCCTCGAGCGCGATTGGCTCGTGGGTAAGGTAAGTAGGTACGGTGTCTCCACCCACAAGCCAATCGCGCTCCAGAGAGCAGGATACGCGGTCCGGCCAAATAGCAATTTTCAAGTCTGGTAAAGCGGGTTATTGATCTTCTTTGAAGCTGCAAAGCACAGTCTTGGACTTGGCTCATCCAGGAGAGCAGAACGATAAATATCCCAAATTTGTCATTCTGCAGAGTCGCTGCCTTTAACCAACACTCAGCAAAAAATATTCAATGCGGCTAATTCAAACTGTAACAACTTTTCGCTAGTATTCTTTAGCCATTCTTTAGTAACCTGCAAGTACTGTGTTTCTGCAAATTTATCTGCGGTTATGCACACGAGTAATAGATGAGGATGTTAAAAAATTTTTACACAGAGCGCTTTTTGTTCAGCTGTTATTTCTGTGGTGTCTTGTTTAGAAAATTTCAGAGTTTTCTTTTATTTCTCAATTTGAGATTTTTGCGAAAGCGATGTAGTATAATAAAAGCGTGGCAAATTTGAGTGGCCTTTCCGCATAGAGGGTATACTTATGACACGCATAGACAGGGCGCCGCTGCGTCAGGCCAAGAGAGTTCGTGCATGAGAGAGATAGCAGATGGCAAGAGAAACGAAAAAGCGCTCGATTTTAGAGACGCCAATAAGTCCGCAGTCTTTGTGTGCTATGAATCGCCCGTACATTTTTCAAAGAGCTTTAAACATTGTTTAGAAAACCCTGCATTTATCGGCGGAAGCTTCTAAGCAAGAATTTCTGAACATTACTCGAAGAAAGTTAGCTCCTGGTTGATAAAATGACGTCTACCCTCTCTCTCTCACTAGCAGTGGCTCCGTCTCAAGCGGCTCAAATTCCGCGCTACCGCCTGCGCTCTGCACCCGTCGTGAAATTGCTCTCTGATCAGATTTTCCACAAATATTCAGCCTTTCTCACACTCTTTGGGAAAAGGTACAGAGCTCAAGCGAGACAACCGTGCGGGCTTTGAACGGCTCAGAATGGCACCACTGCCAGTGAGACAGGAGGTATATAAAAGCACTTTTTAGCTATTTTTGGTACTATTCCCCTCAATACAACTCAAAAATTGAAAATCACGGATTTCGCTGAAAATTCGCTCAAAGGAGTTATTCGACCTCCTTACGAAAATAATATCTATTTTGCATGGTAAGGCTATTTTTGAGGGTTATAGGCTCCATATGCCTATAACCCTCAGAAATAGCCTTACCATGCAAGGCGGTATGGGGTCAAAATCTCAGAATTCGCTAAATTGCGTAGGGAGGGGGGGGGGGAGGTGTTCGACATGCTGATCGCAAGTACCACACTTTTCCCACACGAAAACCTCTTCTTGTAAGGTTACGGTAGGTACGTGGTAAGGGATCAGAACCGGAGATCTGCCTGAAATTTTGTGCAGGGGTGTTATTTGATATGCTCATCACGAATACCGCGCTCATTTCGCTCATAAGGCCTGCTCGTGGATTTTTGGGATCTTAATTGGGTTGAAAAGCGGGGAAGATGCTTCCCTAAGCGCTGCAAATTGCCGCAACTCTACAGCAAAGCGCTATTATAGCGAACAAGTCTGATATTCGTTATCAGCATGCTTGAAAACCCCTCTAGGCAACGTTTAAGCTATTCGAGACACCCAGGTACCGTGTCTTACCGTAATTCGGAAAATGGCGCTACCGTACAAAGTCAATATGATATTCATGTTCAGCGTGCTAGATAACCCCTCCAGACCAAATTCCAGCCAAATCTAGG